CCAGCAACCTCCACCAACTCCCTGATCTCCTTCTCCGCCCTGGCATACGCCGCACCTGCACCAGATCACAGCTCAACACTGCATGCCTTGAAGATGCTCAAACATCTGGGTCATTCAGCTGTATTCTGTTCACCTTTGCCCACGATGATCAGAGGCCTCTGAGCCGCTTTGAGGAGCCTGACAGCCTGTGTGATCTCCCTGCGGTCAGCCTGACTCACAGGAGGAGCAGGACAACAGGAAACAAACCTAAAGAAAAATGAAGAACGTGTATACAAGCAATGCAATAGGTTGTTTCCAGTCACGTGATTGTGTTGACGCACGGAATGCAGATGGAGGGCAAGGAGTGAAGAGCGCAATGGACGAGATGGAGGACAATCCGTACTGTACTACTTTAGACGCAATTACAAGAGACATAAACAGAAAATCAAAACATATGTTGGACGTGATCCTTACATTATGAAGAGGACCGATTTTCAACTGAATTGAGAGAGGCTGTAGAAATCATCAACTAACTCGTCTTACAGACATACTTTGACTTTACAAAGTTCGGAAACTGGTACGTTACACAAACAGCCACATAAGTGTATTTAAATACCTGAATAATGTAGATATAAGCCACATAAATAATGTATTAACTCACATTTGACGAAGTGATCACTGCACACACAAACACAGGCATTTCCCATTCGGCTCCTCCCGACCGCAGACGTAGGTTTGCAAGGCATTTTTCCCGGTGTTTTTCAGTCAATTTCTTGTATTTTCCCCCCTTATGAACAACAACTTTTGGCACACAATAAAAACTCCTCGTGGTTTGATCGATTTGAGCAACCATAAACGACGCAAAACATAGGCATTTTGAGTGTGTTATAGTGCTTCCTAATGTAGAAAATCACTTCCTGCCCTCCATCTGCTTTTCACGCCATGGCAACGCAGTCACATGAAAACAAACTATTGTGCATATTTCAAGATGGAAAAAAAAAAACATCAATAAGTGATCATCACATCATAAACTACAGTTAGTCCCCTTTGCTATGATTATTCTTTGAGTCTACATAAAGCTCACCTGACACTGGTCCGGTCTATTTTGGCGTTCACCATGTCTCCAGCTATGTCTATGTAACAAGCTCCTGGACGGCCATAAATGCTGCTCCTTACAGCCTAAAAAACCACAAACAGAACATTATACATTGTATATTTCACTTACATTAGGAGCATTTAATTTCAGGAACCCATTAAAGGGACAGTTCACCCAAAAATGAAAATAAAGTCATTGATTTAACCCCGTAAGACCTTCATTCATCGTCGGTACACAAATGAAGATTTTTTTGATTAAATTTGGGAGTAGGATCACTCCTACATTGGCTACCTAAGGGATTGAAAGTTGACGGCCCAGAAAGTCAATGAAGAAAATGTTTAAATATTCCATGTGACAACAGTGGCTCAACTATAAGTTTATAAAGCGACGAGAATACTTCTTGTGCGGAAAACAAAACAAAATTAACAACTTTATTAGACTATTCATTTTCTTCCGTCTGGGCCTGAGACGAGAGTTCAAGAGATTTTGTAGGATTTTGAGCCTATGTTGCAGTGATCCACCTCTCAAATTTAATAAAAAATATCTTCATTTTGTCTTCTGAAGATGAACGAAGGTCTTACAGAGTTGGTACAGCATGGGGGTGAGTAATTAATGACTTAATTTTCATTTTTGGGGGAACTATCCCTTTAAATGTTTGGGAAACCTAGGGCAGTGATATTTTAGTAGGTGTTGATATTTTGAATTAGCTTTTATTTTTATATTTTCAGATTCAGATTTAGTTATGTGTTTTATCTCAAACTTATTTTATTTCAGCAATCTAATTTCCGTTTAAGCTTTTCATCTTATATTTACATTTTATATCAGCTTTATCAATTAACGAAATTTATAATTTAAAGTTTTAGTTAACAGCAACACCGAAACAAAATTATTCTGTTTGTTGGGGTGAACATAACTGACATGTTAAGGAGCTGGGCCTTTATTTTACATTACAGAATGGCTATAATACTAAATCTTTAAACAAGAGGAGTCATCTATATTTTTTTCCTGTAGAAGACAGGCATAAAATTTCAACTTTAAATTAGTAAAATTGCTAAAAACGCGATGTATATCTGCTAAACTGTATATCAACTTTTTTGTTTATATCATATAGACGATTTCACAAGATGTAAACAACACTGGTCCAGAAGCACTTCCTGTTTCAGTTTGTAACTGTTTTCTTTATTTCACATGTAAAGAAAACATCTTAAAGATGTTTGTTTAACTTTTTGATTCAGTTTTAAATGTTCTGTTGGTTGTATTTTATCCCAGCTTTCATGTAGTGTTAAAAAACTGAAACTGGAAGTGCTTCTGGACCAGTGTTGTTTACATCTTGTGAAATGGTCTATAGATGGCCTCAAAGCTGACAGACATGGACTACAAACCACAAAACTTGAATTTTTGATTTCATGGGGTTTTAAAACACAATTTACTTTTTCGACTACAGCTGGTATCATCTCAAGGCTGCTTGGTCGAGCAGAGAACTTGCTATACAGACGACAAGCTTCAACCTGATGAGAAACGGAAAGAATATCACAGGTGCAATAAATACAAATGATATGTTAAGCACTTATAAAAATATGAGATGAATCAATAATTATTGAATCTATTGATTAAACGTGTTGCATTTATCAGTCACCAAATGCTGTTTATTTGTTACTTAATGTATAAAATCAGTAAAAATACTGAGATTCCAGAGGCTATTTTGTACCAAAGCCAAACATTTCCTATCGACCCTACTTGAGGGAACTCCTGAAATGCTCCTGTGGTTTCTTGGTTCCTATCGGATGAGCCGCCAATGACAATGACAGGCCTGTGATTTCAAAGAAGAGAAGAAAGTACAAAAATGGCCTATTTGAGGTCAATTCCCTTTAATTTTAAGTGAATTCAGCAGTGTTGCAGTTAGCTACCAGCAGTTTGTGTTAGCATTGGCCATTCCTCCGAGAGCATGGATCAGCCCGGGTCCAGACACCACCAGACACACGGCTGGCCTAAGGAAAGGAAATTATTCTTCAGCAAAACAGCATGAGAAAAAACCAGTTATAAATACAATAAATGAACTGACATATTCATACCATCCTGTCAAATACCCAATAGCAGATGCAGCATAGCAGGCCTGTTAGGAAAGAGAAGATGTATGGAAACATAGACCCAGACAGTCTTCAATGTAATGAAAGCAGGACACATTTAAAAATAAAAGAGGAAAGAGAGACTGTCTTACTGCTTGTTCATTGCGCATGCCCACGTACTTGATGCCCGCTGCTTGGGCAGCCATGGCCACCTCGATGATAGGCACGCCAACAATGCCAAACATGTACTCCACATTCTGCAGATGAAGTTAGATATATAAGAAAAGACATACCTAACAGGCAAACTAATATGTTAATTATTTGTTTTAATATTATAAGTTTTTCTGGTAATCCAAGCCACAATAAAAGAAGCAGTACATTTAGGCCAGGGGTTTTTCAAACACGGAGGGACTGTTGAAACATTTAGAGAAAAACAGTGTACATTTTAAATAAAAAAAAAAATAAAAATAAATAAATAATAAAAAATAAGGTTATCCGAAACAAACAAATAACTAACTAACCTTGATTCAAATATACAAATAGTAAAATAAATAAAATTTGATAAATACATAATAAGCTATTTGATTTAAACATACAAATTAATTATTAAAATAATAGATTTTTTAATAAATCTGATTAAAATGAACTGATTTAAACAAATAAGTAAATAAATAAAACTGATTTAAAAGAATAAATGATACATCTCAACACAAAACACACCTCATGATATTTATAATTTGTTTTAATATTTAATTATTTTTTCACAGTTTTAATGGGGCGCTTCAAACATGAATATATACATATATATATGCCTTTAATGTTTAGGATGGGAGTCCCTATTAATCATAATAAGGATAATCATATGTGGGGTCTGTCAGGCTACATGATTAGTCAAGATGATACTATCAATTTCTTTTCTTTTCTTTTTTTTTTTTTCCTAATCTAATAATTTTTTTATCATAAGGTGAAATACACAGAACTTGTCATCTCCGTATTTAACTCCATGCTTGGTTTAGTGTTTTTGATCACATATTTATTGACAGCTCTATTGCGCATGCGCAGAACCTTTGACACACTGTCCAAGTTCAATAGTACAGCAGGCGATTCTTTGTCGGCATATTGCAATGGAAAAACAACACTGTAAATAAAATACACGTTAATGACTTGGTGCTACGGAAAAAGGTTTTAATTAGATGGCCTACTTTGCAAGATTAATTTCATTTAAATATACAGGAGAAACTTGGAGAAAACACTTTTTGAAAAGCATCCCGGCAACACAATACAGACCTGAGATTTGAGCGCCTCAGCGATCAGCTGAGCTCCAGTAACTTCATCCATAATCAACTTCACAACAGACTCATTTCACTCATACGACGTTACAGATATCAAACTGCTCTTCTCTCTGTCTTCTGTCCTGTTGGCTGCTCTTCTTCTAGGGTTTGTGCTCTGTGTAGTTGCAGAACAATGCAAGCTTATGTTTCCACCTACTGGGTAAAGTCTGGTTTCCTCCTACCCGTTCTTATGGATCTAAAAGAAGATGAAGGTATGTGTGTGTTTTAAGAAGCAAAAACGCATGTTTAAATACATTTCTCCCAATGTTCTTTCTTTCTTTCTTTCTTTCTTTCTTTCTTTCTTTCTTTCTTTCTTTCTTTCTTTCTTTCTTTCTTTCTTGATATGAAATTGAAACTGAAATCACACTCAATTTAGAGTGTAGTCTTCATTACACTTCAGTACACCATCTTTTAATATTCACAGTAATCTTTAATATTTAATAAAAAATGAATATATATACTGTATAATATAATTATGTTGAGAATCTGCACTCCTCAACAAAATCTCATATCCACAGTTGCTATTTTCATTCCACTGTTTCCATTATCATACTAATTTAGAGGACATCTAACAGAGGAATGATAATTTGAAGAGAACAACACATTACCACCACTTACAAAAGTCTTTATTATAAATACATATGACATGCTTTGCTATATTAACTAGCTTCTAGCTTTTTTAAAAAAAAATACAACATACAAATGTAGTATATGAGACATGAAACACGTAGTGAACATTGGTTAAGCATTAAAAGTTCAAATTTTACTGTGCAAAACATTACAGGCATATAATTACCTGAACATTCCTCAAACTATTAGGCCTAGACCTAATGATTTACATGATAGACATTGAGAAACTAAAAATTAAATCTTCAGGCTAAACATCATGAAGATAGAAGTTGTACTTGTCGTAACCAGTATTTTCCATATTGCCGTTTTGGTTGACTTTCACGTCTGCTTTCCTGCCCATCGCTTGAGCTTCACTCTCTCTGCCTTCAAGATACGACTGCAGGATCCGGAAAAACTGACAACATATTACAAAATGGAGTAAATGTCATTTAAGAATTTTTACAAGAAAAAATGAAGCTAAAAAAAAAGTCTGACTTTTTAATCATTTAAGACATTTATCCTTATAACCTTTATGGCATAAAGGGTTCTTTAAATATGAAAATAGAAAATCACATATAACACCCACATTTGCTTATTTTTAAAATCAGCAAGAGTGTTTGCATGAAGAACTGAGCAGTTTGACTCACTAGGGTCCTGGTCTGTGGGTTGCTCAGAGACTTCCACTCTTCATGTGAGAGGTCCGACTCCACAGAGATCATCAGTAGTGTCATCAGAGCCAACACTTTCAACCTAGACGCAAAACACACGCACACACACACACACACACAACATGCAGAGACATTACAATCCCAGCATGAAACAGACTTCCTCAGTAAACCAAATCTTCAACATCTAACCAAAAGAACTCACATGTTTGCAGTGCCAGGCTGTGTGTGCAGTTTGCTGTTAGCTTGCCTCTGTTGCTCAAAAGCTCACTGGCCTTTTATATACAGGCATGAACAATTCACCTTCTGGAAAATTGGCATTTCTTTTTTACTCAAAGAATTATATCTGGATGGACCTTGAGTGCCATAATTGATATAATTAACTTACCTTATAGCGTCATCATGGCTCTGGAGACATAGGCTACAACTCAGAATAGCCTCTTATAATGATGGTGGTATTTATGAGTTTAACCTTTAAAGGGGCATGACGTATGTAAAACACATATATGAGTGAAATCGAAATTATGGGAAATTTTTTTATGAATGGTTGAGGAGGAAAGTTGACAACCAATTAGTATTTTATTCTAACAACCAAAAGCTCAAAGGAAGACTTCAGCTCCAGAAGCAATTTTAGAGTTTTATATCCCATGAGAATGATTATATAAAATGACTCTCAACTAAAGTTGCTCAGGCTGTTTTATATAAAAAAAAATTCTGCTGCTGTTTTCCTGGATAAACGATATGTGCTGTTCTGCTTATTTTTATCTTTCTTGGATAACATTGATCACTTTTTCTGATATTGAAATTACACAAGGTTGTCACTTGTAGTTGTAGTTGTGTAAATTTGGTCTAAATATTTCTAGAGCTCATTTCAATAGACGTGAAGGACTATAATGCTTTAAGAGCTCACTCAAGTACTGCAGAGCTAAACCATTTAGTGCTTTTTAAGTAATCGGTAATATTTAGAAATGTATGATGTTTAATAGGCAGCCAATTCAGTTTTGATCGAACCAGGCTAATATGGTCATACCTCCTGGTTCTGGTAAGAACTCAAGCTGCAGCATTTTGAACTAGCTGTAGTTTGTTTATTAAGTGTACAGGGCAACCACCCAGTAGAGCATTACAAAAATCTAGCCTTGAGGTCATGAACACATGAACTAATTGTTTTGCATTTGTCAATGAGAGTATATGGCGTAATTTATATATATATATATATATAGTATATACAGTATAGTATATATATGAAGAGTTCAGATGCAAAAGCCTCTAAGTGCCATTTGAAATTTTCTTCTTTAATGATGATTTTTATCAAACTTGTATATTTAAGTTCAGTAATTTCACTTAAATGGCAATGATAATTACCTATTAATTGTTATTTAAGTGAAATTACTGAACTTAAATATACAAGTTTGATAAAAATCATCATTAAAGATGAAAATTTCAAATGGCATTTAGAGGCTTTTGCATCTGAACTCTTCATATATATATATATATATATATATTTAAGATGGAAAAATACGGTTTTACAGATACATGTGACTTTAAAATGAAAGATTGGTATCAAAGAGCACACCCAGATTCTGAACTGACGACGAAGACTTAACAGAGCAGCCATCAAGTGTTCAAGTATTCTAGGTTATTACGTGAGGAAGTTTTTTGTCCAATAAATAGATTTTTTTTTCAGAATTTAGTAGTAGGAATTTACTAGTCATCCAATTTTTTTTATATCAGCATTCCATTCATTTTGTGAATTGGTAAGTTTTGTTAGGTTTTGAAGAAATATACAGCTGAGTATCATCAGCATAACAGTGAAAGCTAATTCCATATTTCCTAATGAAATCTCCAAATGGCAGCATGTGAGTGAATAGCAGCGGTCCTAGTACTGAGCCTTGTGGTACGCCATACTGAACTTTTGATCGATATGACATCTCTTCATTTACTGCTACAAACTGATAACTGTCAGATAAATATGATTTAAACCATGCTAATGCAATTCCACAAATGCTAACATAGTTTTCTAGTCTATTTAAAAGAATGTTGTGGTCAATTGTGTCAAATACAGCACTAAGATCAAGTAACACTAATAGAAAGATACAACCATGATCGGATGATAAGAGCAAATCATTTGTGACTCTAATGAGAGCTGTCTCAGTACGGTCTAAATCCGGACTGAAAATCCTCGCAGATATCATTTCTTTCAAGAAAGGAACACAGTTGTTGTGAGGATACTGCTTTTTCTAATATCTTTGACAGCGTTTTTTTTTTCTAACAAGCGGTTTAATCATAGCCAGCTTTTTTGGTACATATCCTAGAGACAAAGACAAATCAATGATATTAAGAATCTCTTTCAGCGCTCCTTAGTCGGTATAGGGTGTAACTTACAAGTTGTCGATTTAGATGATTTAACGATTTTGCAAAATTCATCCTCTCCTATAGTAACAAATGAATCAAATTTTTCCTCAGGGATACTACAATGCACTCCCTGATGCGATACTGTAGTAGACGGTTGCATAGTTATAATTTTGTCCCTGATATTATCGATCAAATAAGCGAAGAAGTTCATAAAGTTATTACTGCTGTGTTGCTTGGAAACTTCTGGGTAGAAGCTTTATTTTTCATTAGTTTAGTCACTTGTTCAAATAAATACCTAGGATTATGTTTATTTTCTTTTAATAGGGTTAAAAAAAATAAGCAGATCTAGCAGCTTTTAAAGCCTCGTAAGCAATAGAGCTCTCCTTCCATGAAATCCGAAATACCTCTAGTTTAGTTTTCTTCCAGTTGCGCTCCATTTTTCTGGCTGTTCTCTTAAGGGCCTGAGTGTGCTCATTGTACCACGGCGTTGGGCTATTTTCTTTAATCTTCTTTATGGAGCAACTGCGTCTAAAGTGCTGGAAAAGAGAGAGTTTAAAGTTTTCAAGTTCCGGGATGCTGAGAATGAAAGATTATTGATAAAGCAATCTTTAGTGGCAGAAGTGATAGGTCTAACAAATTTATAACACAGAGTCGGCTTTGCAGCCTTGGCTAAATATAATTTACATGATAATGATCTGAGATGTCATCGATCTGCTGCAGTATTCCAACAGTATCATCATCTATCCTATTCCATTTGATAGTAATAGATCTAGAGTATGATCATGACAATGAGTAGGTCCTGACAAGTGTTGTCTAACTCCAATTGAGTTTACAATGTCTTTAAATGCCAATTCAAATGCATCCATTTCATTATCTATGTGTGTTTTAATCACCAACAATTAGTACTTTATCTGTCAGCAAATTCTTTGATAAAATCTTTATGTTGCCCTGGTGGCCTGTATATAGTAGCCAGCAGAATTCTCAAACGTGATTTATCGTTTACACTACTATATATCTTTACATTAAGCACCAACACTTCAAAAGAAGCATATTTAAAACTAGATTTCTTAATGGTTTTGAAAATATTTCTATAAATTAACGCAAACCTTTGCCTTTCGGACGAGGCTCATGTTTATAATGGTAATCTTGTGGGGTTGACTCATTTGAAGTAATATAATCGTTTGTTTTTAACCAAGTTTCTGTCAGGTTATAATCTGAAATCATATCATTAACTATGAGCACTTTTGAAGTAAGGGATTGAATATTCAGCAACCCAAACTTTATAGTTTGCCAAATTACTACACTCTAAAAAATGGTCGGTTTGTTTCAACCCAAATTTGGGTCAAATATGGACAAACCAAATTGTTGGGTTAAAAATTAATTCAAAAGTTTACAGTTGAAGTTGGGTAAAAATTTGAAATTACATTTCTAACCCAACATTTGGGTTTGTCCATATTTTACCCAAATTTGGGTTCAAACAACCCAGCATTGTTTAGAGTGTAGAGAGATGAGCAGCACCATCTGTTCTCAAAAAAACTTTTCCAATTGGCTTTATGCACAGCTGCACTACTTCCTGAACTTAAGCCAGCTCCTTGTTTCCTGTCTGCCATTATTGACCAAACTTGATTACTTCAGGTGTGTCTGATTATTGTTGCCGTGACTACTGAGGTCAGGCACACCTGAATTAATCAATTTGTCCAATAATGTCAGACAGGAAACAAGGAGCTGGCTGAAGTCAGAGCCCGTCTAACGGAGAGCCTTGGCACTTCCTATTAGCCTCGTTGTGTATCATCTTGGTTGCAGTTCCATTAGAATTCCACTGGAGGTGATCGCGGGCGAGTGCAGAATGAATGGGAGTCTATGGGGCTAAACGGCTAAATGTGTCTCTTTCACCTGTTTGTCGTTAAATCAAAAAAGATTTTATTGTTGATTCCGCAAGTTCAATATAGATTATAGGCCAAAAGTCGAATGAACGAGTACTTATGTCCTTTTGATTTCTTACAGGTTAGGCCATTGTTGGCCGGAACACGCTAGCATTCTGCTATTGTGTGACGTCATCACAGTTTTGAACGGATTTTTCGAACAGATAAGTGAACTTAAAAATGCAATTTTCAGCTGAGTGTATTTTCTTAGCCCTTCCTTTTGAATGCAACTTTCAAATTACTTGACAAAAAATTACATCCTGAGAAAAGTGGATTTCTGGGGATGAAACCCCATTGACTCCCATTCATTCTGCACTCGACTGCGAGCGCCCCCGCATGGACAGAGACGCGTTACTGCAGCCAATCCAGAACCCGGAAGTAACCAGCCAGTGCCAATTCTCTTCAATTAGACATTCTCTGCTGAAGTTCAGGAAGTAGTGCAGATGTGCATAAAGCCAATTGTCTATGAATTCTATATGTGGACACCACTTAGGCAGCCAGCCATTGAGTGAGGCCAATCGACTAACCATCTCATCACTCTTGCGAACAGGAAGGGGTCCAGAGCAAATTACAGTGCTTGACATCGTACTTTCAAGGTAGGCCCAGGTGTGTTTTTTTCTGCCTCCACTTTTCTCCACTTCTCTAAAGTCTTCAGTGTTGCATCTGAATACAGATGCATCACTCAAGATGAAGGTTGAGGTGAGGTTCCCCTTATTAGAACTGGCATGCAAAGGTGCTCCCTGTTGGGACCTGGCAGGCGCAAGTCCTCCCTGTGTAGACCCAGAAGAGATGGGTACTCCCTGTTTCTTCCTCTGCCTTGTGGTCTTCAGTATTGCGTCTGAGAAGCCTGAATGCAGGGACTGAGTCTTCTCAGATGCATCACTGAAGACCAGGTTATCAGGCATGAAGTTCCTCTGCCTCCACTGTTTCCCACCACAGCCCTGAGGTGAGGTCTCCATACTCAGGCTCCTCAGAGATGGGACGTGAAACCTCCATTATTGCCCACC